TACTAAGTAGTTCCAGCGTTGACCGCTCGATAGCGCCGCTTACCCGCGCTAGAAAAAATCAGTCCGGGAACTTTCCGGACAAACTGTGTAGACGCTCGCTCCGAGCGAACAGCGCCTTTTGGCGCCGTTCACTTGTTATCAGTTATTATTAATATTATTGTTTGATCGGCGCGCCGGCCAACAGCCTCAAGGAAATGACCAGTAAAATCGGCTCTGCACACCGCGTTAGGAACGACTCGCGTATCGTGTTGTCCGCGCGTTTGACCTTCCACCGTCACGCCGGCTGCTTAGAGCGCAATTCATTTCTGAGCGCTCCGCCGCGAAAGAGTTAAACCTGCGTGCATACTGCTGGCATACTGCTATCATTTGGCTATCGGGGTTGGGCAGCTTTTCGAATGGAAGCATTTGAATTTTGTTCAAAATAATTACTAATTTTTTCAATATTTTCTTCTGTAGCTACAAACACAGAAGAACCTAGCAAATCGTGTCTACGGTTTTGAATAGTTCTATACTGCACAAAATTATCGATAACTCTGTTAAAAACAATACAAAAAGTATTTTAATGCAGGTTTATCGCCAAAAATGATTTCACGTAACGTATAAGTTTTAATAAATAATAAATTCTAACCTCTTCAGTATAATATCGCTTGTAACTTTGTGTGCCGTATTCAGTATGAAACTCTCTATAAGTATTGCTATATAATTTTTCTCTCGAGTAGAAGCACTTGATAAGATAAATCTTTTTTTCCGTTGATTGACGATTTTAACGCACACATAGTTGCTTCTATCACAGCTAGAATAAAACTGCAGACCTTCTGGTAGACAATGATTAACTGTTTTGAAGCCATGGAAGGGAAGACCAATCGTTTAGTTTCAACACATTCTCGTGAGACATCCTACATATGCGACAAAGATAGCATTCAAAACGAAATCAAAGAATTAAAAAAACACTCTGCAACAAAATCGCTATACATTACAACAAATAAACAAAAAAATAATTAGAAAACATCAAACTAAATCATCTACCAACACACTCAAAACATGCTATCACAAGAACAAACAGACTTAAAGAAACGAGTCACTTGCGACCCATACATACAAAGAGTCACAGATAAGATAGACAGAATCCTAAATAAACACAACATAAAAATAATCTACAAACCGAGAAAAATAGAACAGATTCTTAACAATTCAAAGAAGAAAAGACTTCCACTGGACACATCAGAGATGTACAAACTACTTTGTTCATGCGGTAAAATATATATAAGAGAAACTGGTAAGATGATAAGCACACAACTAAAAGAACATCAGTCAGCAATGCGTCTAAAACACTACTCACAATCGGCATTAACAGAACATCAATTAAAAACTGGTCACAAAATCATGTTTGACCAAACCTAAGTATTAAACAAAACTGCAACTTATTTCCCTACAAAATATATGTATAAATTGGAGATATACATTAAAAGAAGATAAACATTGAAACAATCTCAATAGAGATAATGGACAAATGATCAGTTCACTAATGACAATTCATCTTGCTATAACACATTTCCCCTTCCTTCAGGGACACCTGAGCATCTCAGTATCATGTTGTTCTTGAAACCCTGATAAAGTGAGCTGAAATGTTCACGTCGATATAAAAATGACACTAACGCGGTTTAAACCCGAAAAATATCTTCGAATGTTAAAACAATTATGCACCGCGAAAGCATCAAATATTAAAAATTATATATTAGAAAATAACAAAATTACTAAGAATAAATAAATGAGAACTCAGAAGAAAAGCTGAATAATAAAAAAATTAATTGTATGCAAAAACAATTTTATTGCTATTATCACACATACTAAAGTTTTACATATAATATAAATTAGAATTTTCTGGTTGCTCTTTCTTTATTATTTCTTTTTAATCCAAGTAATCGCAATCTTCTCCAATATTGTTTTGTGTTAACATCTAATTCTTCTAAACTTGGTGGAGGACCAGTTCTAAGAGTCCATAACCAATTAGGATATTCAGAATCAGATTGTATCTTGATATCTTCTCCTTCTTCTTTATAGATGTTTGTACCGCATACATGAGTCAAGAGTCTGTTAACATCTTTTTCTACAGGTAATAATTTCTTTTCTGTCGCAGATAGTGTCTTTTTAGATAGTTTTTTTATTCCTCCTTTTCCTGTAAAAAAATATAGTAATTGTAAAGATTAGACTTTCTCATATTTATGTTTAAGATACATGACATATACAGGACGTTTTATTTTAATAATTCAGTCACGTTTCTCCAAAATTATTGATTATGCACAAATTTATTTCAGATGAAAATAGAACAATTTCGAAGAAGACATATTTTGATCACGTTCTTCTTATCTAACAAAGAGAGGGCACGATGTGTGACCAATCAATTTTGCCAAAACTTTTTGTATCGATAGGTCACTACGCCAAGTATTACAGAGTATTACTCAAGCGTTCACGAGAAAATCGCAATTAAAAATTTTCGAACAACATAAGTAGATATAAAATAGAGTTTTATCGAAGAGCGCGTGGCGCAGCGGTAGCGCGCTAGACTAGTAGTGGCGGTAGAACGCTGCTAGTTCGAGTCTCAGTGAGTTTTTTTTATTTTTGAAATACAAGTAATTTGTATAATATAATGCAATTACTATTCAAAATAAATGTAAGTAATTACAGCATATTACATGCATGCTTTCTTGCAGTTAAATAAAACACGTTTCACATTTATTCGTATAGCACTGATTCTTCCAATATTATAATTAATTTTAACACAATGAAAAATTTATTACTTACATTTATTTTGAATAGTAATTGCATTATATTATACAACATATTGCATTATATTATACGTGTTACCTTGTATAGTGATCTATCGATACAAAAAGTTCCGGCGAAATCGATTGGTCACACATCGTGCCCTCTCCTTGTAAGTAGAGATCAAAAAAATACAAAAGTCACCTCTACTTTTTTAAATATAACTGCTCATTTTTGAATATCTATGATTATAGTCACCTCAAAACGAATACGGATACTTGAAGTTATTCAAGAGCAAGAATTATTGGATTGTAAATGTAAAAAGTGACCTTTTCAAAAAAAAAGGTAAAAAAGGCGCCAAGTACACGCGCCACACGTATCTCTAAAAAAAGTATTACAATATTATTATACTACATACAACCTCTTTCTCTACAAGATCTAGTCTACAAAAGAAATGATATTAAAAAGTAGCGCCAAGGAAATTTTGTATGTTTATACATTGTTATAAAATAGTATAAAACGGCCAAAAGTCGAAAATTCATGTTATCCATGGAACTGTTTTCAAAATAAAAGATATTTAATGCAAAAAACCTTGGCGCGTCTGCACCAAAACCTAAAGACAGATCACGTACACGCGAGCTATTCACTTCACATATAGAAGTTTAATTTCATAAAAAATCAATTAGCATAGCTCTTCAAATGTAGCAATAATTATAAAAGTAATTTATTATTCAAGTATTATTCAATAGAGTATTGAAGTAATTTTCGATACTTTTGAGAATTACCGTTAAATGAGTTTTGTCGAAAGAAAATAATGTTATTTTATCAAAAGAGTTCAAAAAGTACTTTATAATTGTGCGCTTAATAAAAAAGCTATTGAGTAGCTATCACATCAGATTGAAATAAATTTTAGTTCAATATAGCTTTTGCGCCAAGTTTTTTTGCATTAAATATTTTTTATTTTGAATATTCAAAATATTTTTTATTTTGAAAACAGTTTCACATGAGTTCTCGACTGTTGGCCATTTTATACTATTTTATTTTGTAACAATGTATAAACAAGATTCCTTGGCGCTACTTTCTATTATATCATTTCTTTTGTATCATTTCTTTTATATCATTTCTTTTAACTTTAGATTTTAGAGAAAAGGAGTTTCTGTGTATAATAATATTGTAATATTTTTTTAGAGATACGTGCGGCGCGTGTATTTGACGCTTTTTTTACCTTTTTTGAAAAGATAATTTTTTCGGGATATCATTCATTTTTGTAGAATAGATTTTTGACAAACACTTTTTTTAATACAATTTAATATATTTCATTATAATAACAAAAATATATATAACAGATAATATACATAAAAAAGTGTTGAAAGTACTTGCATCTTTTTAATTGTTTTATGTGGATTCTAATCAAATCGGCAAAAAAGTGTTTGCTATTGTTTTTATTTATTGCAAAAGTGTTAAAATGTTTAATTATTTTAAACAATTAGATATTTTCTTTTAGTTGGTTTTGTTTTCGTAATTTTTTTATGACAATGCAACGTAAATTTGACCAGAACTAAATATAGAATTCCCTACGTCCATAATAGCGTTGGACGAACTCAGTCCTTGGCTTTTGTACAATAAGCAAAGTTTTACTTTTTTGCGTACTCGTTATTTGAAATATTCCGAATAACAAAAGTCACTGTACCAAATGTATTGTTTACAAGGCTCAGCAGTAGTATTACGTCTTATCATAACTTTTGCTCCGATCTTAATAATAATTGTTTTCGAATAATAATTGTTTCTGGCTGTTCTAGAATTATCATCTTCAATATTTGACAATACTTCTAAAACGTTTTTTTATTAAAGTAGTTATCGCACAAGTCTTATTCAAAGGTTTCATTTTACGCTACAGAAAAGTACTATTCTCAGAACTCGATTCTCACATGTCATACGAATAATTCAGACTTTATTTTATCAACACGTCATTAGTGTAGAAATAAATAGATAGATTTATTATGCTCAAAACCTATCAAAACCTATTACTTACATCTATTTAACAATTTTACTTGTTTTTGCTAATGCGGTAAACTTTTATTTAGTAGCGACTGTCCACGCTTTACATCAAACGGCAATCTGACAATTTCGCGCGCGTCTCATCAAATGTCAGTTTGCTTTTAGATGTCAAACGAAACTACTAAAATGACTTTTCAATTTCACTAATGAAAACTAAAACAACGCTTAAAACGCTAAACAAATAATAGCTAAAAAATAGCTGCAGGCGAAGTAGGCGCGGAGATCTAGGAGCAAAAAGGGCGGTTTTTCTTAGGGATACTCGAGTACACACACACGGAACGCGCAAGATTATAAGAATCGCATTAGTCGATCGGTTTTACAATCGGCTATTTTTATCCAACATGTCTGGATGTTCGGTATATTGGCCGGCTCGATCTTACATCAATTAATCATTACTGACCATTCTTCTTCTTTTCTTTCGATCGATATCTTGTGTGTCTCTTTCTCGCCAACATAAAAAAAAACATTAACACCTGCCGTTTGCATCTTTATATGTAACATCTCTGAGATTAGCCTTTTATGATAAAACTATTCACTGTCTAAAATTTCGACATTATCCCATTGGAAGTTATGGCCCAAAAGTTTTGAAGAAAATAGTGTAATCTCTTATTAAGATTATACTATTTTACACTATCTCTCTTTAAGATATTCGTGTTAGCAATTTTGAGATTATGATTTGTTTTTAATCATACAATTAAGAGCAAACTTTTTCTTTTCACTTTTTATTATTCGATTCTTTGATTCCTAACTTTTTAAAAAATTTTTTGTTCCTTTGACTATTATATAGTTCTGACCAACTACTAATTTAAAACCTGTTTAATTTTCCCAATTAACTTGTTATTATCTATTTATTAAATTATTTAATTACAGACTTTCCGACGCATACATCATACTTTTACGTCTGTTGTTTATGATATCGGTTGTTGACTCTTCTTGATTTGCTAACATACTTAAGATTGAGCTCTATCTTTTTAGAACTCTCCGTAGAATTCTCTCTTAAGATTGTTTATACGGAATTTAATTTTTAGTAAGAATATTCTTCTATTATCAACAGATGTTGATAATAAACATAATAAAAATAAATTAAAGAAAACTGCCTCAATGCTTTTAAAGAGTTTCTTATTTAGACACATACAATTATTTTAAAAAAACAGTCTCTACTGTGCTAACTTCAAAAAAATGGCAACAGCATTTAAAACTTAAAAAGGAAAGAAGAAAAAGCCCCAGAAAATTAAAAACAGAAAAACTCAAAAAAGAATCGAAAAAAGCTACAAACGCTGTTATTAAAAAAAATAAAAATTTAAATAAAATAATAAAAAACTTAAATAAAGATATTTATATAGAAGAATATAAAACTAGTTAAAAAAAAAGAAAAAGAACATTATTTATTAAATATTGTTTCTGTTTTAATTGAATGCATTTACCAAAGTTTGTATTTAAACCAAGCGGTTTTTTATTTTATAGAAATTTAAGTTAGGTATACTTATTTATTTAGTTTTATAAAACTGGTACCTTCAAGTTATGTATTATTTAAAAGTTTAATAATTTATTAATATTAATAGAGGTTATTAATATTAATAGTTATATTAGTATTGAAATATTAAATATGGAGCGCGTTTCGAGCATTTGTATTGATAACACGCAAATAAAAGCAGTGAGTGTGAAATCAGCGCTAAATGAGGAAAAAGCAAAGAAATAAAGTAAAGTGATTAGTAAAAAGATAAAAAGTTTGTTGAAAAGATAATAAATAAACAGTGTCGTGCAAATTTTTTCTGCAAAAATACGAACAAAAAGAAACTGATTGAAAAGTATTTGAAGTTAGAAAACAAGAACAAAGGAAAAGACAGTTATAAAAAAAAGCGCGCATGGACGTAAAATTAACAGATGGCGATATCGCTCTGAGAAAAGAAGAACCGTCTGATAAGGGAATTGTAGAGCAGACGATAACGGTAAACAACGAAGTGTTTACATCAGCAAAGCAGAACGGAGAAACAAAGAAAGAAAATACAGTGTGTAACACGCCGAAAGTACAAAGAAGAGGAAAAAGAACAACTGCCGAAAGCTAGAAGAAAGAAAGAACAAAAAGCGACGGAAATATAAAAGAGCTGCTTACATAAAAGAAAAGAGAGCAAATCGGATAAAACAGAACCGTAAAAAAAAAGTTTTTTTGGAGCAACCCACGCAGAAAAAAAGAGTAACAGATATGACAGATATATACAAAAAAAAAACGATAGAAAACTTCTGTTACAACTTTTACGGAAAATGAATCAGCAGAAAAAAGATAGATCATGCCGTCGACGGACCGTAAAGCGTTAAAAAGAAAATTACCGCAAGAGATCAAACAAGAAATGGAGAAAAAAAAGAGATATGGCGAAAGCAAGGAGAAACGCTAGAAAAAAGAATTGAAGAGAAGATAAAAAAAATGGAAAATAGTATTAAGAAAATCGGAACAAATGAAAATGAAATGACATAAGTAAGACATACAGAGATTAGTTCAAATAGGGAAAACGAAATATGTATTGAAAATAAGTTGCATACAGAAATAAAAAAAAAAATGAAAAGTTTAGAAAAAAAATATGAGAAAATTGAAGCAGAAAAAAGAAACTATATCATAATAAAAAGATTTAAAAAAAAGAAAAAAATTGGAAAAAGAATTAGAAAATTTCTTTCAAGAAAAGGTAAGAGTTGAGGCAAGAGTTTAGCAGGCTAATAGAGAAAACAAGGTAATATGGGCAAAGTTGAACAAATGGGAAGAAAAAGAGAAAATCATGCAAAAAAGAACACACTTGTTGAAGAAATAGTATATGTAGATCATGATAAATCAAGAAAAAAAAGAAACATACAAAAAGAAATTAATTGCATCTAAAAGAGTATTGAATACCGATGCTAGAGACCTGTAAACCGACATTTTGAATCAAAATTTCTCCGTATTTACTATCAAATGTTACTCTATCTACTACTATCAAATGTACTTTCTTATCATTTCCGAGAACATTCCGAGTTCGATGATTCAGGTACACTTACATGTGAACAGTATGATTAACTATTTTTCAGTTGAAATTTCGAATATTTCAGAACATGAAGTAGTGATCTATCAATCTAATTCGCTATGTTATTCTACAAGTTTTTGCTTTTAACTCATCAATTATCCTGAATTCATTGCTTATTTGGCAACAAAGAAAGTCTTACGAAGAGAAGTGAAGTGCCTGCGATGCAATGCAATGATTTATTTGAACACACAATGTCAATCTTTAATTCTTCATTGCACAAAATCATATTATAAACAAGTTTGTAGTAGAAAACGAAAGCAACAGACATGTAATTTTAAAATTAGTGTCCTAATTAGGGACATTGTGTTTAATTAGGGACATGGTTTGCACGTGCTTCAACAGACTTACAAAAACTAGAATTAATATGTTTTTCAATATTATGGCTACTTCGTATCCATTGAATGAAAATAATATACAATAAATGTATTTCAAACATGAAACGTTCACGTACTATGTTCGTGTTATAAACGTGTAGGCAAGGGGGGCTACACCCTCCCGCAAGAGGATTTGAGAAACAAATTTACAGATTTGTTGTGAGTTTTCCGGACTTCGGGACACAAAAAAAACTGTATATACAATATTTAAAAGAAGTATTATTACCACATGGAAAAAAAGAAATTTCTTTTAATAATAAATTTGTAGTGCGGTCAAAGAGTAATCCTGCATTGCGTGACAAAATTTTTCTCGATAATGACATTGCAAGAACATGTACTATTAAAGTTATTCCTCCAAAATAGATACCTTTATGTCAACCGTGTGATGTTTATTTTTATAGACAAGTAAAACATTTTATAAAGCGTTTGCAGACTTGTTCGACTTTAATAGAACAAAAACGCAAAATAGCACTCTCGTGATTGTATAAAAATTCATCATCAATTGTCCGATCCACGTTTTCGAAATATGTTACAATATGCATGGTTTGCCTCAAAAGTAACAAACGAGAGAAAGATATTTATGAATGTCAACAAAGAGAGAGTATGTTTTTCAAGATAATATTAATACAATAGATATTTTATAGATAGATACAATAGATATTTTAAAGAAACTATGTAACTATAAAAATGCAGCGTTCATACAATGTGCACACTGTCGTGAAAAGTATTGTTTTACTTGTTTTTATGACAAATATCATCCTGCGTTATATATTATCCCATCTTCTTCGAATGAATAAAATATGTTTCATGTATTTTTACATGTTCGCATACACTTATTTATCCGCTTTTTATAAACACAAATTAGTAATTATTAATAATCTGTTTATTTCTACCGTACTTTTTAAATTCGCGGGCTCTTTATGCAAAAAAATGCACTTTTATAACATGCAATATATAAATAAAACTGTATTACTTACATTTAGATTGTATTGTAGACAAAACTTGTATTAAAAAAAAAGAAAATCCATCGAGACTCGAACCAGCAACATCACCATTACTAATCTAGTACGCTATCGCTACGCTACGTACTCTTCGAGATTAAACGGTCTATTTCATATCCTCTTAAAGTAACTCGGATTTTTCAAACTCGATTTTCTCGCGAATGCTTGAGTATTGCATCTTATTACTTTACCCTGCAATACTCCACATAGTCACCTATCGATCCTATAAATTTCGTCCAAATCGATTGGTACAACATCGTGGTCTCTCCTTGTTAGAAGAATGGCATATGAATATTGATGGACAACTAGCTGTTATAACATCAAACTAAACAAATAAAGACCACAAAAGAAGAACTTGATAAATCACATTTTCATAATTTTAGAGAAAAGCGACTTTAAAGTTTGAAACGTACGTGTATTTTTCTGTACACATTTTATAAAAATGGATGTATCTTGGGATCTATCAAGAATTTTCCCTTTTTTTTTGCTTTGGATAATTAAACTATTCTATTTTAACTACCAAATAATATTAAAAACAGAAAAATAAAAAATTGAGTTTATCAAGTTTTTCTCCTGTGGTTTTCAATGGTAAATACAGTTTCCATCTTCAATGGCAAATACCCCAGATAACCAAATTTGTCGAAACAGATTTTGCCAAATGCATGTTACAAATTTTGTTAGCAGAAAGACATCAAATATGATGCAGAGTTTGTTTTATCTGGCAATGTTGCAAAATTGTTAGCAAAAATATATCCAAGCTTGTTAACAAAACATAA